CACACACACACACACACACACACACCCCTCCAGTTTGATTGAATTGGGGCAACTGAAACTTGGCAGGAGTGAAAGCTGGGTCTGGTGTTACTCACCTTTGCATACCTTCCCTTTGCCCTTTGATTCCTAAAAGAGGAGGGTGGCAGGGCACAGATGCTGGTAATGCTACCCTCACCCAGTCAGGAACTTGCATCATCATGTCTTCACTTCTGCTCAAGGGAATGTTGATTAACACTGGGTTCTCTTAGCTCATTAGTCTCTGTGGCTCATATGTATGAATTAGAAGAGGCACTCTGGACAAGTTAATTAAGGTGCCCCTTCTGTATGGACATGATTTGGCAATCAAGTCGGGTGAGGGCTGGATTTCAGCCCATCCATTCACCTGTCTTCTCTAGATATCTTTGTTCAGTCTACATCCTGAACAACAGCACATGGTGGCCCTGTCTCCTTGATGTTAAACTAGACTCAACTTCACATACTCCTCTGGGAGAAAAAAACAGTTATTATCTGGGCATCCCTGTGCAGTACATCTCTGCCGATGCGCCTCCTCCCTGAACCTCGAGAATATTCAACTCCACCCCCAGCACTGTGGAGGGACCCCAAATCAGGCTTGGACAACCATGCCTTGGGCATCCATGAACGGGGCAGAGAGGCACTGTCCCTGGGAGGGAAGCTCCCCACCCCCACCCCTTGCTGGGTTTGGTTTCCGGACTCCTCACACGAGTCCTGTCTTTGATGCAGTGGACCAGCCCCTGGACCACAGCAGCCTTCGGCAGCTCGTGCTCAGCAACTACACTGCGAAAGAGTTTCGAAACAGGGACTTACACTGAGACAGCATCCTGGAAAGGGGGGATGATCTGAGGCCCAAGAAGTTATGGTCTGAGGTGGAGGGGGCTACATTTGTACCAGAGAGAATAAATGTTTTGTTCTTTAACCTCAGTGTCTCCCCACACTCATTACTAAGAGACTAGATTAGGGTCCTGGGAGCCACTGTGGGACACGGAGGCACGGGGACACAGGAGGCAAGAGTTATATGAGGTCACCACGGCTCCTGAGCGCCCCCTGAGATGGCGCTCCTTTATCTGAAATTAGAAATTAGCTTCTTAAGAGCTAATTTCAAAAACAGATGAGTTTTTGCTAAATTAGCCGTATTCTTAGCATGAATGTGAGGCCTCTTCCTCTTAATTTATCTTGGGGCCTGGGTGAGCACATCTATGGGAGAAACATTCCGATGTAATGTTTCCTAAAGGAAAGGATGTCATGAGAGCTAGGCTCTACCGATGCTTGAACTCTCTGCGAGAAAGGGCCGTGGTCCTCTAGTTACCATTCCAATAAATTGTGGCCCTTGACAGAAGTATTCCTAAGTGGCTGTGAAGGTCTGTTTCCAATAAAGAGTCACTAGGATTCAATAATAATGACAGCAGGGACATCACTCGCTCATACCCTGCCTTCACGGGAACTAGCAAAGGACCTTGCTCACTCAAGGCACGTCTGTCAGAGAAACACCACGAACACACACACAACCTTCTGTTTATTTGAACACAGCTTCTGGGTGGATTTCCATCTGTAGGATGTGTGGCTACGTGGCATCTTGCAACCACTGGGGCTGCAAAGACGATAGAGGTGGATGATGAAGCAGCCACACAGCTAACAGGCCAGGAGCAGGGACGGCGGCATTACTGGGCAAAGTGAGAGGAGGGCAGGGACCACCTCCCCACCAAAGACAAGCCCGGGGTTGGGTGATGAGCCCCTCTCAGTCCTTCTCTTCTCCGTGGGTGATGATGTGCACCAGGTTCTTATAGTCCAAATTGCCAGTCACATCAGGGGGGAAGGCAGCGAACATCTGGTCCATCTGCAAAGAACCAGCAACACATGCTGAGGGGGACAGGAGGGCAAGTGAGAGAGGAGGGTCCCAGAGCAGAGGCAGTAGGGGTGCGGTGGACATGGGGACACGACACTCGGGTCCCCCTCCGGGAAGGCCTCGTTGCTCAGCTGCCGTGGAGAACTGCCAGCCCCAAGGTCACGGTCCACCTGGGGCAGCCCACGGCCGACTGATCAATGTGAGGCCTAGCGTGGGAACTCCTCCAAGGGTATTCTAGTTCCAGGGCTCCCTGCGGGGCAGGGGGTGGGGAGCCAACACACTCTCAGGGCCTGAGTTGAAGTTCAGCATCTCCCTCCATGCCTCCCTGCTTCCTTGCCCTTCCTTGCTCTTTCTTCTGCAAGGCTGACCCCAAGGGCCATCCTATAGGGATGTTCCTGGGAATCCAGGCTGCCGCACGTAAAGCAGGGATCGCAGACTCGGGTTGCAAAGGAGCTAGGCAGCCTCTGCAGGGGAACAGGGGGGCTGCTGGGGACTGTGGGGAAACGCAGACACACAAGCTACCTCCAGAGGTGCCCATGGCTCAGAGCCGGCTGTGGGGGCAGGGGGGGCAGACTGAGGGAACTTCGTCTTTGAGGGAAACTAGAACTCTAGGCTTTTAATGTGCGAGTTCCACATTTAGAAAGTATCAGCTAGTTATTTTTAAAAATACTACAAATATTTTTAGTACTAAAGATACTAATTTAGGCTAATAATAGCTAACGCTTTATATTGTGTTTTCCACATGCTTTAGCACTTCACATGTATCAACTTGTTTAATCCTCACAGCACGCTATGAGGAAAGTTTTATTACTGCCCACTTTACAGATGAGGAGAGTGAGGCACAGTGAGGTCAAAGAGCTTGTCCAAACTCCCCAGGCTGGTGGGAGGTGAAGGCAGCCTCTTTTAATATTTTTTTTTCAACGTTTATTTATTTTTGGGACAGAGAGAGAGAGAGAGCATGAACGGGGGAGGGGCAGAGAGAGAGGGAGACACAGAATCGGAAACAGGCTCCAGGCTCTGAGCCATCAGCCCAGAGCCTGACGGGGGGCTCGAACTCACGGACCGCGAGATGGTGACCTGGCTGAAGTTGGACGCTTAACCGACTGCGCCACCCAGGCGCCCCACAGCCTCTTTTAACTGCATGGGTTTTGGTGGGGGAAGTGGCGGGGTGGGGAGAGAATCTAAATAAAAATTTTAGCGAAATGTGAAACCTGTTGAAATCAACCCTGAGAAGGGGCTATTTTAAATAGATTCAGGTTCATTAATAATATCAACAGGGCCATTGCTTATTGATACAGGACTTTTGATGAATTAGCAGCAAAAGTGCCCCTTCTTCAAGGCACATTACTGCCCCCTGCCAAAAAAAGTCATATATACTGTTTTCTTAAAAAAAGAATTATATCAAGACACTTTACTGCCATCTGCTGGACGACGGTTGCAATAAATATATACTTCACAATATATTTTATGAGTACAGCATCCAGGAGAATTGTGCAGTGCAGAAACTTCATGACAGTACGTGGTACCCTGCAGGTCACCCTCACTCCATCAGGAAATTGGTGCTCTAACCAGCACCAGGTCTCTAACCAGGCCTCTCTAGACCTGGAGTCAGACAGACCTGGGTTGGAATCCAGGCCCCAGCATTTACCATTAGTGTTGTCCTTTTAGGCCCGTGACTAACTTCCCTGGGCCTCAGTTTCCCCATCTATAAAATGACAATAATGCTGGTAGTCCCTACCTCATAGTGTGATTGAGAGAACGAAATGAGATAGGGGCTCAGTAGCAGGTTCTCTCTCAGTGTGGGGCCAGGGGTGTTTTAGAAAAGAGGGTGACACGGGAGCTGGGGTGCAGTGTGTGTCCGAGGGGCTGTTACCTCCTCTTTGGAAAATCTCTCTGCCTGTGTGGTCAGCATCTCCCGAACGCTGCAAAAACAGAACAGCGGGTGTTGGCACCAGGTGTGTGTGTGGGCGGCAGGGAACCCCCACGTCCTCCCCCACAGATCCCACTCACTAATCAGCCTTGAGCACCCCTTTGCCTTCGGGGTCAAACACTTTGAATGCGTTGAGAATGGTCTCCTCGGGGTCTGCCCCTGAAACGGAAAGCAGGGTTGCATCATGCAATGGGTGGCTGGAAAACCCACAGTACCCCAGGAGGCAGGGCCCAACTCCCCTTCAAAGGTGGAGGGGCCAGAGCGAGGCTGGTTTGCTTGGAGGAAAGGCCCTGCCTTCCTCTGAGCACTGAACCTTGGTAAGTAGAAAGAGTGGGCTGAGAATCCAGTCATTTCTGAGCAAACCCAAGGTCAAAAGTGGATCTAGAGTCAGAAAGACTGGGATTCGAATCCTGACTCCAGCGTTTGCTAGCTGTGTGGCCACAAGCAAGTGGCTTTCCATCTCTGAGCCTTAGACAGGGGATAAAACAGAACCTACCTCCTAGATGGCAAATGAGGTCATGGATCCAAAGTGTGTAGCATGGGGTCTGGCTCAGGCTAAGCCTCAGAGCAATGTTAGCTGTTGCTTTTATCCTCCCCACCCCCAATGTTACTCTGCCTTCACCTTCTGCCAACACCCGTGTGCCCTCCTAGTGCTTTAATTCATGCCAAAGATGAAGACACGTAAAGATACACACACACAGGTGCACAAATGCAGATGCACATACACCCAGACAGACAGACACACACATGAGCTTACCCTTAAGTTTCTCCCCAAACATCGTTAGGAACACAGTAAAGTTAATTGGACCTGGAGCTTCCTTGAGCATTTCATCAATTTCTTCATTCTTCACGTTCACACGCCCTAGGGCAGGAGATAGATACACACTCAGAGCCCCCCGCGCTAGGGCAGAAACAGCTGTCAGGACTCTGGCATTTGCCCGCCTGATGCCGCTTCATGGAATCTAGTCTAAGGGACAAGCAGAGATGGAGTGGGCGGGGCCAAAGAGTCCCATGAGAAGATGTTCTCCACAGTGTTATTTATAATAGCCAGACAGCTGGACACAGCCCAAACATCCATTGTGGGGAGGGGTTAGCTATTTTTTATAATAGTGTCTTCAGAACCTCAAACATTTTAAACAGATATTTTAACTTTTTACTGAAATGGGAAATGTTCCTATTACAAATGATCCCTTCTCAGTGGGAGGTGGCACACAGATCAGAATCACCTTGAAGGGAACTTTTTCCTTGAAGGGCTGCAACCCACACAACCTTGGAGATTCTCATAGAGCCTGTGCTAGCCTCTGCCACGAGACCAAATAGCACCTTTGTGCACATTTTTAAAAGTCACCCCTTCTTAAGATAATTTATGTTTTAAATATAAAAATGTACAGTGGCCACAAACATGAATAGTAATCTGTCGAACTGTGTAGTGCGCAACCTGCTCAGCTGTTCATGGTGGCCCTGAGTTCTGGGAGTAGGAGTGGAGGGGGGTGAGTGGTGGCAGGGTGGACGTGTGTATTTTGAAAAATCTCCATACACTCATGCTTACACTACTGAGATGTTAAATTTAAAAAGCTGGCTCCCAAATAGAATAATTCCAACCTCAAAACAACAACAACAAAAATTCCACAAAAAAAACAAATGTACCTAGAAAAGACTGAGAGGCAGAAATGTTACAGTGGAATGCGACCTAATGGCTAATGTTTTTTGTTTTATACTTTTCTGAGTTTCTCAAATTTTCTATTGTGAGCTGGCATTGCATTCAAAATCACAGAAAAAACAAGTCAGTTTAAAAGAGAAATGAAAGATATGTGAAGACACTCAGAGCCTAAACACTTCTTTGCTTTTCCTCTGAAGTTTGTCTTAAAGGCCAACCATGACTGAGCTCTTTCTCTGAAAAATGATAAGCTCTTGACCTTTTCAGTGGCCCCACTTTCCACTCCTCAGGAGGGTGGGGTAAGGAGACCCTCCTGCAGGCCTAGAGGGGGGACATACCGAGAGCAGCAAACGTGTCCCTCAAATCATTCTTGTCGATGAAGCCATCCCTGTTCTGGTCCATGATGGTGAAGGCCTGTGGAAGGGGGCAGTTGGCTGGTCAGCCCAGGAGAAGTTGAGGGGACGAGACCAAGAGATCAGGCTGTAGACTGGGGGAAATGGGGTTCTGGGATTCAGGAGCACCGAAGGACATTAGATCAAGGGTCAAAGGCTGGAAACTGGCCGTTCCTCAAAATGTTAGGCATAGCGTTACCATATGATGCAGCAGTCGTACCGCTGGGCATGTGCCCAAGAGAACTGAAAAATCTGTCCACGTGGAAACCTGTGCCTGAATGTCCACAGCAGCATTATTTACAATGGCCCAAACCTGGAAACAGCCCACACGTCCATCAACTGGTGGATGGTTACACAGAATGTGTTCTAGCCATGTGATGGATTACAACTCAGCAATAAAAAGGAAGGAGATCCTGACGCCAGCTACAGCCCAGATGAGCCCTGACACATGACGCTGTATGAAACAAGGGGCAAAAGGCCACATACTGTACGATGTGCTTCTACAAAATGCCCAGAACAGGCAAATGTGTAGGAGCTGAGAATAGATCAGCGGTGGCCAGA